GGGGGGGGGGTAGCATATATATATGGTTAACGACCAGTACATTGTATGTATGTATGTATGTATGCATGCATGCATGCATGCATGCATGCATGCATGCATTTTTTTACTCCGAATGAAGCGTTATGCCTCACAACCCCTAAGCTCTAACCAAACGCGTTGCCCTACGCACCCTGATCTTTGAAAACCGACAGCTTAAATCCTAAAGTCGGAATATGAGTGTGACCCTAAACCCTAAAAAACCCTAAGTTTCTTGCCCTTAAGCTCACAAAGGCGGGAAAGGCGGAGTCCGATGCGGAAAGCACCGAAGATCCAGATGAAGCTTGGATGCGCATATGTAAGGGCTAGAAGCGGGTCTAAGATTTAGGGAGCAATCCCGTCTTTACAGATAACAATTCCTGTATGACACAAAAGAAAAGCAAAATAACACTCCTACATATTCATGGGGAACGGGACATGGAGCCCAGAGCAACACCAACCCTATACCCCAAATACGACACACTAACCCCTAAATCCGGAAATCCTAAGCCCGAAACCCTAATCCCTAAATCCCAAGCCCTAAGCCGTAAACCCTAAACCCCAGACCCTAAATCTCTAAATCTAAACCGAAGCTTTGCAAGGCAGACCATGGTGATACCAACAGAGCAACAGCAGAGCCGTGGCTACGAATGGACGACGTCACTCGCGCCTCGCCTTCGTTGTCCCGTGGTTTTTGGTTTAGGATTTAGGGTGTAGGGTTTAGGGTTCAGGATTTAGGGTTGAAGGTTTAGGGTTTAAGGTTTTAAGGTTTAGGGTTTAAATAGGGCTTAGGATTTTGGGTTTAGGGTTTGGGGTTTAGGGTGCGAAGACTAGTTCTGGCATAGTTTGGGGATGCAAGGTTCCGTAGATTCCTTGGATATGGGTTCAATACTGGGGTTCTATAGGGGTTGGGGACCTAGCTTTGCATGACTGGAAGAACAGAGGATCAAATGGAAAGAAAGCGGAGAAGGAAATTGACAAATGTGTAAAATGGTGGTGAGAAGGTTGTGACAGTACAATATCAACAGGACTTACACTTAACGATTTGTGAAGGTTTGACAGCCAGCTTCAAGGAAGGTTTGCAGATAGCTTCAATCTCCTAGTGTCCTAGTGGCTGTTAGGATAGTTGCAAGTCTACAGCAAGGTGTCCTGCGATGTGCCACAGCCTCGCAGCAGCCTCCAACCTGCGGTGCACTTCGCACGTAAGGTTCCTTAGACATGACAGTCAAAGGTGGGGCAATACCTCATTCATGTGCAGCTTCCCTAGCGAAGTTTGGAGTATGATCCTGTAGAAGCCTTGATGGGACTTTACAACGCACTCAGAATCCCAGTACTTCCCTGGGCTTCGAGAAGCGTCTGAACCCTGAACGCGCAACTCTAAACCCCGAACGGGCATCCTAAAATCCCAAACCCACCTCAGGGGCACGGATCATCAACATGGTCGAAGAGCCCGAGATCGACTTCGATTCGGAGGCGCAAGCCAGCTGTTGTGCTCTTGAGCTGTGCCACTTTGTTTAGGGGGAGGGTTTTGGGCTTGGGGCTCAGGGCTTCGAAGCTTCTGGAAGTTTTTTTGTTTTGTTTCCATAGGATTCGCATACCAAAGCTACTTCAGTGCATGTTCACTTGTAAGCATTGTAAGCCCGAAGCCCCAGACCTATGGCCTAATTTACATCAACAGACGGCAAAACGTGTGATTTATTGCTTATAGTATATCAGCTAAAGTCTAAACTCCTTGAAGGGGGTTATATAAGGATGAAACTAGGGAAGTATGGTATAGTAGGACTTATTAGGGGGGATACTCGGAGTCTAGACTAAAGCTCATATGATGGAATGGTAAGCCGCACTCGCCTCCACGAGGACAGCGAGTGGGACGAGCCACAGGAATCTGATGGTGAAGGCACAGTAGGGTTTAGGGTTTAGGGTTTGTGATATAGGTGTATCCCTAATTTCCCTAGGGTAGGGACTAGATCTTGCGATTGTAGACGGTAATCTGGTTGTGAGGAGTTGGTTCCTCCCCTAACAGCAGAGACTCATTCTTGCAACGTCGAAGTGGTAACCTGGCTGTGAAATCCTGAGCTCTAAACCCATCCTAAGCCGTACAACCCTAAACCATGCCACATGCTTAAGCGTGTAGGTTTTGGGGTCCAACTGAACATAGGCAAAGCGCGGAAGCTTGTGTTTGATGTAGGGGCTTAGACGATTTCAATGGGTTTTTGGCAATAGTCTAAACTGCAGGATTACATAGGGGACTACTTAGGGGCTATTAAGGGATACTAGGAGTTTAGATTATGACATGTCTGGAATTCGAAGGGGGTCCGTCCGGAGTGATGGCCTGGGGTTGTGGAAACATGCTCCTTGTCCTGTTTCATGAAAGTGTATGATATTGATATCACCTCATTATGTTCAGTACAATCCCCGCTGAACGGGTTTGTAGATTTTGTCATTATACGGGCGTGTCCCTAAACCCTAAACCCTAAACCCTAAGCCCAAACACAGCAGCATCTTCTCTAAGCTCTGGGCTCTACACTTGGAAGCTTGAAATGCCCTATACTCCCCAAGCCCCATCCACCGCTCCAAAATCAACCTCAACCACAGCTGAAGCACTGACACCCTTTCCCACCCCGAAAAAAGAGAAAACTTAACATCACCAACCCCAGGCCCCCCCGGCTTAAAGAAAACAGCACCACCTGAAACCCTAAAACCTAAACCCTAAACCCTAAAACCTAAACCCTAAGCCCTCAAACCTAAACCCTAAACTCTAAAACCTAAAACCTGCACCCTAAACCCTAAACCCTAATGGAAATCCCCAAGAAGGCGCATCTTTCCCCTTAACCAATGCATGCCTTATAACCCTTGTGTAACCGCAAGGTAGCCCCTATTCTATTAATTTTCGGCCCCTACAGTACAATCCCTATAAAGCCCGACAAAACCCAATGCTCGGGGCTGAGGTTTGGAGCGACTTGTCAGCGACATGGGAGGTTTTTGGAACGACCCCCCCACGGAATCCTGAGCGGGTTTAGGGTTTGGGGGTTTAGGGGTTTAGGTTCCAGGGGTTCAGGGTTTTGGGGGTGATATTTCAAAGTTCTTGCTAGTATACGGCGATCTTTATTGCAATTAATCAACAAGGGAGAATCAAACGGAACATGACATGGAAGCTAACTTTTTTTTGGTTCGGAAGATTCGAAACAAGGAGTTGCTAGAAATTGTGGGTATGTAGAGGAGAATAAATCGTTTCAAATCGTTTCAAAGCAGTATGGCCATGGCTTGGAGGTCTCTAAAATGAGCCTGGGGTACAGGGCATGTGGCGAGTGATGCTCCTTTTTGAAGCATGCTGACATTCGAGCCGCCTTTTGTGGGGGGGTCATATTGGGATTGTGGAGGGTTTGTATACATAGGAAGGTCTTGTGTTGAAGAGGCCGCCCGTGTGTTTTTTCAGCTCCTGTACATGCAGATCCATAAAATATCATGCAGGTGTGTGCGGGGCTCTCCAAGAAACGTTTCTCCTTATAATGGTTTTGGTAGAAGGATCCACGCATAGGCTGCCGCATAGGGCACGCCCCTCCCCCCAAACCCACCCACCCCAATTTTTTGAAACTTCCGTGCAGGTACCCTAAAACCCTAACTACCCTCTTTTTGGGTGCTGAGGCAAGGAGACGAAGCCATAGCAGAAGCTTGGACCTACATGTGGAAGTGATCAAACTTATGGCTGTTTTGGATTCCCCCGTGGGTTTAGGGTATGAGGTTTAGGGTTTACGGCTTAAGGGTTTTAGGGGTGTAGGGTTTAGTGGTTGAGGGTTCAGACTCAGACCTGAGTACACAAACCAGCGTCGAAGAGAAAGCAAACGGACGCTTCCCCTCTTTGGTCACACCCGATCTTGATTCACACGATGAATGTTGCACCCCTTGCTTGCCGTACTATGTGTGGCATTCCGACCAACGAAGTACCAAACAGAATAATTGAGATATTATACTCCCATGCCATTGTTAGGATAAAGGGAGGACGTTACCCTGTGGCAGTGCATCGCTGGCAGTGTGAGATATCTTCAAAACGCTTTCAAGGGAGCCTGTCAGGATTCTTCAAATGGTTTAGGGTTTGGGATAATGGAAAATCAAATGGAAACTACTATAATGGAGAATCAAATGGAAAAGAAAATGGAAAATGAAATGGAAACTGGGTTTAGGGTTTAAGGGTTTAAGGGTTCTAGAAGGGCTGTGCAGGGTTATATAGGGATACGGGAGGGATATATATAGTGCTAATTGAGGAGTACGCAGGGATACTGGACAAGGCATGGTGCCGTGGCTTCACTAGCCTAGATTCCTTAAAGAGTTCTATAGAGAGGAGTATTATAGGGGTTATTAAGGGGTATACTTGGAATTTAGATCATAGCTCATTAGACTCATTAGACTGTAGCTTCTATTGAAGTCCTTGCTTGAGGAAACGTAAGCCTGTTTTGTTTGAGCCGGAACTTGGAGAGCTATTTAGATCTCGTGGGGCAGCACTGTTCCTTGATGTTTGAGAGGTATCGGTGTGATATTCAGCATTTGTATTTCAGAAATGAATCAGCTACACAGATTTGAAATGACGACGAGCCAGCTGAGGATCACTCGGTTGTGGCAGCAGCCATGGATGCGCAGGAAGGGTTCCGATCGCATGTGAGTTTCCCAAAAATTGGATTCAATTTAATTTCCATCGGCTTCTGGGGTCATTAAGTGCTGCCGTTTCGACACATTTCCTTATGGGCATTACTTCTACCAGGGCCACTGTGGTGATTATTAGGCACTTTCTCATTTTTCTACCCAAGAACTTGAGGTACCGTGATGTGCATCAGCAGTTCCCTACAGATACCAACACAAGCTGTCTTCTTGACGACCATGCCGCCTTACGATACCTTGCACATCGATCATCTATGGCTTTATTTTCGAAGCACACTTTGATTCAACAGGTATAATATGTATATATATATATATACCCATCTTCTTTTCCATTATCCCAATATAAAAACCCAACATCATTCCTATAACCCCATTATGCACCCAAAAATTTGCAGATGCTGAGCGGCATATGGCACGTTCTATCTCCTCCAAGGCTTAAAACATAGCTGCGCATAGCTTCTGGAACTGAGGGTTCTGTAGGGAATAATGGAAAAGAAAATGGAACCTACCATAATGGGTTATATAGTGGATTATAGGGTTTATATTGGGGTTATATGGTATAGGGTTTAGGGTTTAGGGTTGAGGGTGAATTGTCGTGGCAGGGTCTCAAAAAGCAAGTCGCTTATTTGGATCCCAATTATAAGGCCCGTAATAAGCAATATCTGATGGGCCATATTTAATCCAACCCCAAAAGCGAGTCTTGTTTTCACGAAGTAAATTGCCGCCCGTACCCTAAACCCTAAACCGCACTACCTCGGAGGAGCCCCGAGTGGTTCACAGCGGAGATGGCTTCTTCGTGTTGTTCAAGCCGCCCAAGTGCGTTTGCGAGCCGTCTCTTGCATCAAGCAAGGTATGGGATTTGGGGTCTGGGGCTGGTGGGTTTAGGGTTTTGTTGAGGTTCAGGGTTTAGGGTTTTGTCTTTTCTCAAGTGCAAAAGTTTTGCCAGCAATTTCAAGTTGCGTAGCTTGAAACACCGCGAAGGAACGCTTATCTTACATGGGAATGCTGCGAGGCACATGTAGGTCGGGATGCAGGTAGGAGTTTAGTGGGGCATTTTTTGACGTCTCAAAGTCCTTCTTTCTTCGCTTCCTAGACTGATCACAGTGTTTCGAGGTATCTAACCACCACGCGGATGTTTCGAAGTTGTGAATCAAGTTCCTGTAGGTTTGGCATTGGCAACAGTGACACCTAAGGCCAAATACCACGATCGGTGTTGCTCGCTATGTGCATCAGATGGGTATTGAAGATACCGACCATGTGACCGGGCCTGAAACGGGACTTTCTCTGAAAGTCTGATATTTTGGGTTATAGGGATAATGGAAAAGAAGATGGAAACTACTATATTGGTTTATATCGGGATGGTAGGGTGTATAATGGGGTGTTATATAGGGATAATGAAAAAGAACATGTGAACTGCTGTATTATATTTTATGCCTCCGGAGCGCCTATATGGCCCTTGCGGATAGATCGTTTAGACGCTAGTCTGACAGATGAAGACATATGCTGATAGTAAAGCTTGATTGTTTACGGGGGCCCGAAGACCTGGGCGAGAGGAAGGATGGCCAGCCAGAGGTAGATGCAACGAGCATTGAGGTAGCCCTAACCCTAAGCCCAAAGCCCAAGACCCTAAACTGTAAGCCCCAAACCCTAAGCCCTGAACCCTGAGCCTAGAAAGATGTTGGAGTGTCTCCAAGGACTATCCCTGTACTCTGTGCTCCTTGAGGGGGGTGTCCAGGGTACCCCTGGTTCCAATTTTGGAAGATGCTCTTGTATGCTACCTGCGCCAAGCCTTTCGTGGACCCCCCCACCCAATCATAGTGACCATAAGGGATAATGAGGATCATACTATGGCACTCTTATATTCGTAATATACCACTGGGGTACAGGGTGGGTGTGGCATGTCCACAACGTGAAGCTTTTGAAATTGTTCCCCTCTGCTTACTGTGGGTTAGTAGGGAGCAAGGCCACATACTCCCCATACATCCCTATGAAATACATTTTTTATTCCCTACTAAGCCCCAGTTGGTTTATTGTGCCCTACGAGCTGATCCTGAAACCCTAAACGTTAGGGTTTAGGGTTTAGGGTTCAACTCTAAGGCAATCTGCCATCGCCTGGATTTGCCCACAAGTGGCTTACTGCTGGCCGCGGGGCTTGAGTCATAGATCCCCAAGGTTTAGAGTTTGAGGCTTAGGATCCCCCCCATTGTAGCATAGCTCTTCCTACCCCACCAAAAACTAAGGTGTAGGGTGTGGGTTGGATGGACCCCCCACCCTGTAACAGTGGTATAAGGGGACTAGAAGCTTAGAAGTGGACCCTTCTGTGATCACTGCTATCCCTTATAGTCACTATTCCTGGGTGGGGCTCCACCTTGAGGTATAGGGTTTGGAGTGGCCAACGGGCACCATTTCTTATCTGAAGCCAAAATAGGTATGAAGTTCAGAAAAGCAAGTTTTCTAGGCTTCCTGCTTCCTGTTCTGAAGAGGGATTGTAATAGGTATCCGAAGAATCTTCCGGTAGCTCAAGTAAATCATCCTTGAAAAGCATGTCTTCGCACTGGTCAGTTCTTTTTTCTAGCTCAGATTACTGAAGCCACAAGGGCAAAGGTGTGAGTATGGTCCAAGCATGATGCAATCTTGCTCCTATTTGTGTGGGGGGTCTGGGGGAAAGGTTTCTACGATTAACGATGCAACCAGTGTGTGCGATTGGGAGCTCGTTTCTGTTTTTTCGTATGACTTATGGACGGGCAAGCCCGACCCCTACCTACGTCCGAAGCCAAAGCGTGGTGGAGGTGGGGTCAGATCCAGATGTCTTAGACGACCTGCTTCGGCAGCGAAATGCACGCAGCTGGTGCAAGGTGCGGCCAGAAAGGGAAGAAACAATCGCTTATCGCAGAGACCCTAAGACTGAAGAGCTATTTGCTTGCGATCACTTTGATAAGCATGGGAGTCGTTTCTGTGTGTAGAAGGGATGATAGACAGGTGGCATAGTGAGAGGGATCTGATTCCACAGGTCTGAGGTCAGACGATTTGTCGTAGAAGCCCGAATCATCAGCATTGCTATCCTGTTATAACTCTCAAAGAACTCTTGTATCACATGCCGCAAACCTTATTGTAATTCAATAGACGTTTCTCGAACTTATCTGCAAGTCGACACGACCGTGGTACTTTCCCGGCCAAAATCGCAGGACCTTCAGAACCCACCAAATGAACAGGTGCTCAGTTGACCCTCAAGTGACACCCCGCGCGCAGGCAGATCAAAGGTTTATTCACACGAATTCCCCAGTGCAAGTATCATCGGGATTCAGCCCGCATATCTACTTCAACGCTTTCTGAGAGCATGCTACTGGGCCGGAGCAGATTAGGATCAACATGTCGGCCCATAACACTGCTGCCACTATTCATCCAATGGAATAGTACTTGTAGCAATTTTGGCACTTAAGCATTTTTTTGGCCAGTTCAGATGTCGTAGCAGTGGAACTAGTCGTATTCCGTCATCATTGTCGCCATTGCTGTCCTATCTGCATTAGCAAAAGCAATCACTGATGAGTCACTGAAGGCACATAGGACAGCAGAGCACCCTGCAACCGGAACTGGCGGCTTTCAAGTTCTGTTGCTGTTTCTCGTTATGTCTCAACGATTTTGTTGTTGGATCCTCGCGGTAAGGATGATGCTGGTCTGGGATACATTTAGACGAACCATTCTCATAAACAGTACACATGTTAAGAATCGAGGTCACTACTAGTTTGGGCTACTTTGTCAGTCCCATTTCTACTTTGTTTTCAGTCTGTTCTAGAAGCAGGCTGGTAGAAAACCTCCTCAAAGTTATGAAAGCCAAGCCCTACCCCTAAACCCTACATTCTAGCCTTCCAGCATTCCTGCCAGAACTATGTCTGCCTGATGCATGGATGGCTGCCGTCCAGCCAGGCAGGGTAATCAGGGGTTGGGGCTGTAGGGTTTAGGGTTGTAGGGAAGTGAAGAGGGACATGAAAAGGAATGGAGGGATTACGTAGGGATTGCGCGTTTGGGCGGTGCAGATGAGGGAACATGAAGGTCAAGGGGAGGCTCGGGAAGGATGTGCGATTTTTTTTGGTTTCTCACCATGCCTTTTTCCTGCCAGGGGGGAAAGCAAGACTTCCATGCAGAGACGAAATTCCTAGGACAAGTGATGCTCCAAATCCTATACCTTCTAGACTGTAAGTCTTGCATGGTGCCCCACCCTAGTACTGGCTGCATGAAACCTCAGGGGGGTCCCCCCTATAGGCCCCCTAAGACTCCAAAACCCTTCAAGTCTAAAGCCCAGAAACTCCAAAGCCATAGCAGGTGGAAGGCACTCTGCAATCCAAGCTCCGAACAGAGCGTGAGGGACAGGGATACAGGACTCGGGTTGGGGTCTGGTATAGTTTGCGTCGGACCCTGGGTTTGGGGTTTAAGGTTTAGGGCTCCGGAAAAGGGTCAAAGTCAAAGTCCATGCAATCTAGCCAGTGGTAGGTGGATTGGGGTTCAGGGTCTTGGGTCAAAGGTTTCATCCAACCAAGGGTTCTGCCTTCTAGATTCTAGGATCCGGCGGGGGTCTTTGCTGGAAATTGCTTGGGGTATGTGCCAAACAACTTGGGGTTCAAGGACCTTCAACCCTACCCTTAACCCATCTTAACCCTAAGCCCTAAATTCTAAACCCTTAACCCTGAACCCTAAGATTTTTCCGTCACGAATAGGCAGTAAACCTGCTTTTCTCTTTCGACAGGTCAACCTTTGTAGGTGTACCCTAAAGCCTAAACCCTGAACCCTAAATCCTAAACTCTAAACCCTAAACCCTAAACCCGAAACCCTAACCCTAAAACCTTAAACCTTAAAGCACTAAACCCTACACCCTAAAACCCTTAAAACCCTAAATCCCAAACCCTTAGCCATTGTAGGTGTGCAGATGGAAGTTTGTCAGGTCCTTTGTGCTTTTGGCACGCGGGAGGTAGGGTTTAGGGTTAAGCTTCACAAAAGGCTTAATATAGGGTCATGGAAAAGAAAATGGAAACTACTGGATAAGGTGCAGGGTGTAGGGTTCAGCTTGAGTTCCCCTTCTCTTGATCATGGGTGTCTACATTAAGAGTGCATCAGGTTTCTGCGCTCACCCCTGCCAGGACATTTGTGGATCCTCAATGGGGCGGCGCAGTTGCAGCTAGCAAGCGCGGGCATGTCGCAGCCACACAGGACCCTCAAAGCCTTAATGGTTTTCAAGAATTCAGTTGGAGATCATCATGCAGGGCCGCGGCGAACTCTACAGGACCCTATGGTTGACTCCTGCAAATCAATCCGGCCGGTACTCACGAATGAAGTTCAACAATTCAGGTTATTCAGGCCGTGTTCGGAGATACTCTTGTTCACTGCAAGGAGGGAGTTGAGGAGGGTAGTTGATCATTCAAGCAGCTAGAGCTTAGGTTTCACTGCGATCACCCACTACGCTGCGCTTCGGCATTACAGATGCCGCGCCCTGAGCTGGGGACTTCCGGCTATTCAGGGTATTGGTGCAAGTTTTTTTGGTCGCTGATGGCGTTTTTTGATTGTGATAGTTAGAGAACCTGGAGGAAATTGATTTTTTTGAATGTAGTCCTCTAGAAGGAAGCAGATTTGAGCATGATCCAGGATGCTTATCTACGCAACGGCCGTTGAATGATACAAAACTCAAAACAGGCAGAACGTTGCATGTTTATGGGTTTCCTGAAGCTGGCAGCGTTTAAGATGAGAACATTGTTCGAAGGTCCCTGCCCTAGACCCTACAAGACCGTTTAGGGGCCTAGGGTGTACTCTCAAGACCTTCAAACTTTCAGTGTTCGTTTTCTCAGGTGTAGGAGCGAGAAACTGATGTGGAACCTTCAAAGGAGAAGCCACCTGTAGGATAGGATGTGGGACCTTAATTTGGATCTGAGACAAGTACTTGAGCATGCTCAACAGGTTCCTCCCTCACTCTACTTCTAAGCTGATGGCGACATGTGTTTTTTCAAACTTGGTTGGCCCTACCAAGGCTATACCATGGCCCCCATGACGCTTTGATAATCCGTGTGCCTGTGGATCCTAAGGGGCCAGCCACAGTAAGAAACCCTTAAACCCCAAACCCCAAACGATGTCATGTCCCAGATGTCGAGCATTGCTCCACATCGGTGTTGGACAACAAAAACTTCAACCCTAAACCCTAAATCGCAAAGGCCCCGACAAAAAAACGCCTAAACCGCGTCGGAGGTCGCAGAACTGGCAGACCGTTTACCCTCATGATGCTCCGAATCATCACAGGCCGACTTGAGGATAGAGGTGAAAGGGTGTAGCCAAGCTTCAGCTTGTTGTTATGAGTTGTTACATAATCTGGTAGTGTCCGTAAATAGGGGGAATCCTTAGTTGCTGATGGCGAGGGCGTTCAATTCGGGTCACCCCTCTCCGAAATTGAGTTTTGAATGGGGATACTTCATAAGGCCTGATATAGACTAAGACTATTTCCACACTACAGTAAGTAGTTGAAGAATCTCGGCCCAACCGCCACAAAAACGCCCTTCACTTGTGTCCCAGCTACTTTGCTGTTCCTGCTCCGGCCCCTGCATTTTGTGAACCCCAAGTTCCTCACCTCTTGTACCCTACTCCCGGAAATTCCTGGTCCTTGATTTCGCAGGATCCAATTTGCCACTGTTTCACGTTGCTGCGTGTGCCCCACGCCCAAAAACTATAAGACACGCAATGCAAACAGTAAGCCCTAAGTCTTACAGATTAAGCCCTGAACCCTGTGAGAGGCCGTACGCATCAGATTCGAGTGCACATAGCTGAGCTTGGTATGACAGCTGGCCTGGAGACAGCTGGCATTATTGGAGATGCAGCTTAACTGTGTCAGAGTGGCTTCGGGTCTTAGGGTTCAATGCTGCCTTTTGCTGAGGGTCCCGCTTCGGACGTGTTGAGCCAGGGTGGTGGGATACCCCAAGCCCTCAACTCTAAACCCTGTAAATAAACTGCTCGTGGAGACTTAGCCTCTGCGTTATCACATGTTCGTCTGATTCAGAGGCTTCTAAAGACGCTTGTCAGCCAATCGGTCCCTTTGGTGATAGGGATATACTATGGCAATGGGATATGGGGTTGTAGCGCGAAAACAAGAGGGGGTGGATGCTCATGAGGCTTCTCAGCTTTCAACAAGATTGGGGCAAACATCAAGATCTGTCAGGCTTCCCATGAGAGCGGTTGATAAGTTCTGACATTCTTGTAGCAATCCTATGAAGCCTTGAGCCTCGTACAAAGCTAAGTTGCCTATGCAACTCTTCTATAACCTAAATGCCAAAATCACCCCTCCCTGCAACCCAAGCCCTGAACGCCCACTCTTCAAACCTTGAACCTCAATTTCAAACCCGAAAACTTATGCCACCCCTATCTCGTCCCCTTCTACGACCCCGTTGCCATCCCCCAACCCCTGAACCCGAAAAACTCAGAGCCAAAATCCTATACCATCCTCTTTCACAGCAGATCCCTAAGGCCAAGTTGCATATACAGGGGATTATTCATTTTTCCTTTTATCTCCCAATTCTATCTTTATTTATACGTTCCTACATGTTTCCAGAATCCTGATATATAGCATCAGTAGATAGTATATACGTCTGCATTCCCCCGAGCCCTAAACCCTACACCCCAAATCCTAAATCCTAAACCCTAAACCCTAAATCCTAGACCCTAAACCCTTAATCCCTGAACCCTAAATCCCCGAACCTTAAATCCCTTAACCCATAACCCCTTGCAGATTCCTATCCTACATGTTCCCATTATCCTTATACAGAATATTAGTAGATCATATTTATATTTATATATGTACATATACATATACCCCTTAGCCCTTAACCCATAACCCCTTGTAGATTCCTAAGGCCAAGTACCTGGACTCGGCGGCTTTTGCGGCCGACGTCGCGCTTTTCCAGCGCGCTTCGCAGGGGCTCGCAAAGGTCAGCGAGTGGGGTTGGGGCGTTAGGGCTTAGGGTTCAGGGGTTTGGGCTTTAAGGTTTAGGGGTTTAGGCTTTAAGGTTGGGGGTTTAAGGTTTAGAGTTTAAGGTTCAGAATTAGATTTTAGGACTGTTATTGAGATTCCTTTACGGGGTTAGGCATCAAGATTCAGGTGTACCTTCCCGAAGCTAACATGAAGCCCACATAGCCCCCTTAGAAAAGGATCGTTGTTTCTCTGCGTTCCACGTTAGCCCGCGGCAGTGTAGATTTTGGTGTCGGTGCTTACGGCTCAGGGTAGGATTCAGGGAGCAAGGTAGGGTTTGAAGGGGTTCGCGCTCAGGGCAAACTACCATACACATGTAGACCCTAAACCCTAAACCTCAAACCCTAAACCCTAAACCCTAAACCCTAAACCCTTAACCCTAAACCCTTAACCCTTAACCCCTTTGATGAAATGCCTTGATGTGGAAGGTCATCGAGCCCAGACTGTGCCTGCAACTCAGAATCGCTGGTTCATCAGGGGAACTGGAGGAGTTGGCGATCGGGACCATGATGGGTTCAGGGTTTGGGGTTGAGGGTTTAGGGTTTAGAGTGGCTCTGTTTATCGCTTCCCCCAAAACTTAAATCCCAGCCCCCTTGAATTGACCCATGTTCCATCAGCATATGGAGGTCCTACAGTGATAGTAGTCATGTTTGGTAGATGAAGTTTAGAGGGAGCAATTATTAGTCACGTCTCCTTTCCGCTTCACATCCAAACATGTTCAGAGTGCGCTATGACCCCTGCAATGGAGGGTCGGTGGGAGCTGTTTGATGCCAGGCCAGGGATGTAGGTAGTATCTGATGTGTTGCGAGTGACTGGTATTTATCTAGTTTCGTATCTTGAGAAGGAGTCCTGGCTAGCTTGCTGGTGGTCAGTACGGAATGGAAGGAAACTACTTAGTTTGTAGCCTGTTGGAGGTCTATATGGGCTCATACAGGGATTTGTGTCTCCATTCCCTACGAACAACTTGAATCGGAAACCTTCAACCCCATACCCTGTGCGCTTCTGAGGCTTACATGCGTGTTCTTTGGGCTTCAGAACCAGCAAGTCGTACCTTACGGCCGCTGTCGCTGCATCTGATGTTTCGACACCCTTTTCGGTTGAGGGTTTAGGGTCAGAAATCAGGGACCCTTTTGAGGGTCATCAAGAACTGTAGAATTTCTTGTGGTACAAGAAGGGGACCCCGCATTCTTCAAAACTCCTAGGTCTGTAATGTAGAAGCATGAATGATTACCCCGGTCATTCCAGAATCTGTACGTGAGTGTGGCCGGTTTGAGTGGAACGGCTTGCAGACAGGTTCACACTTGCGCAGCCCTTTCTCAGAGGGTTTGGGGTTTAGGGGCTTAGGGCTTCGGGTTTACTAGTAGAGTTGTTGTCCCAGTATTTGGTGATGCTTCTTCTTGAAGACCCAAGGGTAGAATGTGTTGCGCAGAAAAAGGTAGCCTTGCCGACCTCTACAGCAATGTAGAAGCCGGAATGATTACCAACAACATTCCAGAATAACTTTCATATGAGCTATAGTCTAAACTCCTTAAAAGGGGGTTATATAGGGGATTATATAGGGGACTACTATAAGGGATATTAAGGGGGATACTAGGAGTTTCGACTGTAGCTCATATGGTTGTATTGTGACATAGCCCAAAAGCTTGTTCCAATTCTTTAGGCCTCTGCATCATAATTCCTGTAAGCCCCTACGCAAACCCAGATTCCATTCATGTTCCATTTTTTGCCATCCGATTTTCCGTTTTCTCACCCTTTTGGCCTCTGGACCCTAGACCCTGACCCTAACCCTAAGCCCCAACCCCTTTTAAAATCCCTAACATACTTGAAAAAACCATGGTGTACTGCAAAATATTATAATTGACCACATTAGTGTCCGGGGATGGGGACCATCCTTTGGGCAACCCTGAACCCTAAACCGTAAGCCGAATCAAGGTGAAGTGCGGCCTTCCTTCGGCAGCCTGGCTGTCTTTAGTTCAGAAAGGAAAATGGCCCTGGTTGAAAACAATAGGGTTTAGGGTTTAGGATTCGGGGCTTATCCTTTAGGGCTCAGGAGCAGAAGCCTAGATACTTACCAACGTTTCGGTCCCACATTCCTCGCACAATTATACCTCAAGAAGACCTCAACATGTTTTTGGTAAGTCTGTAGGCCCCCGCAGTGTAACATGTCTAAGTGCATGTTGAATAGCACGTTCGGTTTTGTGCATGCCTGAACTCCACGTGTGAATTTCTCAAGATGATCCCTTGCAAAGAGTCACTGATCGCTATGTAACCCCCGGCCGTAGGGCCTCCCTCTTTCAGAAGATTCCATATGAACCCTAAAAGCTTCATGATCATAGAACTCTTGCCAGTGCTATGGTCCCCCTTAAGTAGATAGAATATGGCCCTGGGTGTATTACAGTAAGATCCCCATGTACCGCATATTCTATCTAGTTAAGACTCTATGTTTTCATTGAGTCTGTAGAAAACTAAGGACATGGCTGCACTCATCAGCACCGAGCTGGTTGAGGAAGATGAGTTCTGTGATTTGGGGTTCGGAGTTTAGGGTCTAGGGGGTCTAGGGTTTTGGGTTAGGGTTCAGGGTCTAGCGAGTATTCACGGGTTCCTCTAGTACCCACCCCTAGGCTACCCCCTTGAATTATGCTTACTTAGCCTGGATTATTCTTAAATCATCCCATCTGCTGGGGAACCTAGAGCGCGGTGGTATGTGGGGGCCTGGTAGGGGAATCCATCAACTATTCCCTGCTATCAAGTGTAAAGTTGTAGCAGTAGTCATGTGTATCCATGGCACAAGTCAGACTTGAACTGCCAGCAAGAGGGGCTAGACAAGGGCAGTAACAGTTGCAATATCAGCCCTAAACCTTAAACCCCAAACCCTAAAGCTATTTCGGGGCCCTCGGCCCTGGGCGCAGCTTCAGAGCCCATGTTGAATGGCCGCGAAACAGCCAGACTGACCCCATAGATCCTCTAATAGGGCACCCAAAACCTAAACCTCCCATTGCCTGGGTGGAGGAAAGATATCGGCCCAACGGTTGCGGATCTCTGGCTGAGAACGGTTCCTGGATCCTCAGGCAGGCACGAAAAATGTTGAGATTTTCAGGCTTCAGAGGGTTGGGTTTCTCGGCTTTGAGGGCTTACTTGGGATGGGGCTATAATTAAGCCTGAAGGACAAGCGATGTTGGAAAGCAAAGAGGTAAGGATAGAAATTGGATAGCGTCGTGACGAAGCTAGACATCGTAATCGGAGTCGGACAGCCAAGGCAGTTCATGGCTGACAGACTACACGCAAAGGTGATTGACAGGTTCAGTTGCTTAGCCGAAGAGTACAGATAGAGAGGCGTCTTTACGGGATTTCAGTCGGTCATCCGAACCCCTAAGAATGTGGACCCCATCACATGGCTCTGATAGAGTCTTTTTTAGGAGTCGTGGTTCCCGAGATCACCTTATTGACAGAAGCTGACTTCAAATGGCTCTCGGAGAGACTATGGAGTCATATTAGATTCACCAGCTTCTCCTAAACCCCAAGCCCTAATCCCACCCAAAAAAAGATTAAATAGTAGATTCCACTTTATTTTCCATTATCCCAAAAAAACCCCAATATGTACCCCAATATAAATCCTAAACCCCAAACCCTAAATCCCTAAATCATCAACCCTGGACCCTGGACCCTGGA